CCTATAAAAACTTACATGGTAATAGGCCACAAATCGTAAGAAGGTAGAATGTTACATGTACATCCTCATGGATGGAACTCTAATGGCAGACTGAATGAAAACTTGCACGAGAAAATGAGGGAGATAACTCCTGACACAAAAGATTTCCACTCAAGGAAGATAATTCAAAAATTTACAAAGAAGGATAACTCTTTCTGATATCTGAATAATACACATATTTCACTCCGTATACACAAATTACACAAAAAAGCAAACAAAAATAAATAAAAAATAAGAACTGTGACAGCACACTCCCCGTCTGATGTTTCTAACATCACATATACAATTACAGGCTATACATCAATGTCATTGGATAGTAGCAGCACCATCTCTGTAACTGGACGAATGAATGTTGACGACTGGCAACCGCGTTTTGCGACACGAATTTCAGCTTTACGAACTTTCCCGTCATCACTGGGAAACACTTTCACAATGACACCCATAGGCCAAAGGTTACGATGAACATCTTTATCGCGAAGTAACACAATATCACCTTGTGTAATGTTTCTTTCACTACGCGTCCACTTGCGACGAATCTGTAAAGTATAAAGATACTCTTTTCTCCAGCGTGTCCAGAATAAATCTGCCATATGCTGTACGCGTTTCCACTGAGCTTGATACATGTTCATCTTGTCAACAGGAAGGTCGACGATCACAGGAGTTTTCTGGGTAAGTATCATGGAAGGGCTCAGAGGGTACGGTTCATCTGCATCTTCCGATAAGGGGACTAATGGTCTGGCATTTACGATTGCTGAAACTTCTGCCATAAATGTCGTCAGTGTTTCATGAGTTAGTGATCTAGCTGGTATCTCCAACATAACTGCATCAATCACACGTCTTACTACTCCAATGAGGCGTTCCCATGCGCCACCCATATGCGAAGAGTGGGGTGGATTAAACTTCCAAGTAGTTCCACACTCATAAAGGAAGTTTTTGATTTTACTGTCTTCTAAGTTGAGTCCAGTTGAATCAATTTTCAGGTCATTTATAGCACCCACGAAATTGGTTCCTTGATCTGAACGAATTTGGGTAACTTTTCCTCGAATGGCTTCAAACTGCTTAAAGGCATTGATAAATGATGAAGAGCTTAACTCCTCCACAACTTCAATGTGAATTCCTCTCGTTGTAAGGCAGGTAAATAAGATTGCCCATCTTTTCGAGTTTGCAGATCCTCCACGCGTCCGACGAGTAACTATCTCCCATGGTCCAAACGTATCCAGGCCAATGTAAGTAAATGGTGGACTAGGCTCCAAACGATCGGTAGGAAGGTCCGACATTTTTTGACACAATAGCTTTCCAAGTAATTTTCTGCATTTGACACAGTTGTGAAGTATGGATGAAACTAATTTTCTGGCTCCTATTATCCAGCACTACGAATCGCTCCTGCTGTTAAGTGGCGACCTTGATGTTTACAGAGTTCATGATAGTAACGAACAATCAACAACGCTATATGATGGTTTCTGGGTATTATCACTGGATTTTTCTCATTGATTGGTAAAGAACTTTTGTTGAGACGTCCTCCGACTCTCAGTATTCCATCTTTATCCAAGAATGGCGAAAGAGGTAAAATGTTACTATCTCTAGGTAGAGGTTTTTCTTTCAATATGCACTGAATTTCTTCTAAATACACTTCATTCTGCACAATTTTGATGATAAGTTTCTCAGCTTTGTTGAAATTTTCCACAGTTCTTGAATCTTCACACACATGCCACCCAGAGCATTTACTGTCTCCTTGTTGAAAGGAATGTGCTATATGCTGAAGTCTGGCAATAGTTTCAACAAGTTTCCTCCATTGCGAAAAACATGAGAATCTTCCTGATTTCAGTCCAAGTCTAGAGATGTCAACCTTTAGACAAGTGATTTCTTGTCTGACTTCCCTGTCTGAATCTGGGTCCACGATCTCATAAGATACGCATGGGTGCTGAATCTGTTGTAAGTGTGCAGGTGATGGTCCTAAGAGCCAAGTACTGTTTTGTAGAGCTTTAACTGGTATCTGTCTTGTTGCTTGATCAGCTGGATTTTTGTCTGTTGATATGTATGACCACTGATCTGGTTTGGTCACTTAACAAATTTGCATCACTCTGTTTGCCACATACTGATAGAATCTCCTTGAATTGTTGAAAATATATCCCAACACTACTTTACTATCACAGTAAAACTTAAAATGTTCAATCGGTAATTCTAGCTGTTCTGATACACACTTAGCAATTTCCACAGCTAGCACAGCGCCACAAAGTTCTAAACGTGGTATCGAATGTCCTTTTAAGGGCGCAAGTTTTGATTTGCCGAGGATAAATCCAAAGTTTCCTTGTGATTCTACATAGGCCACTGCTAATATTGCTGATTCTGAAGCATCACAAAAAATGTGAATTGTTTTGTTCATTGTCTCACTCCATGACTGAGTCAGTTCTATGTAAACTTTTGGGATGTGTAGATTTTGGAGATGTTGTAAGGAATTTCTCCATTTTTCCCACTGAATAGACTGATTTTCTGGTAAAGGTTCATCCCAGTTGACCGTTTCTTGAAGTAGATTCCTCATAACACTACTGGCCTAAAAAATTACTGATAGTGCCACTTTTTACTGATAATTTCTGATATTTACTGATATTATACTGTTGGTACTGAGAATTTCTGATATTTGCTGATATTTTTACTGTTGTTACTGATAAATGCTGTTGGTTCTGATAATTACTGATATTTACTGTCGTTTTTACTGTGGGTTCTGATAATTACTGATATTTGCTGAGATTTACTGTCGGTACTGAGAATTGCTGATAATTACTGAGATTATTTCTCTAGGTTCTGAAGGCTTGAAAAGGGTTTATTTTTTTTATTTATTTAGTTATTTATTTATTCAATCAGAAATAACTTTACTCTTTTTCATATTTTTTGTGAGGAAAATTTCAAGTAGAATCGAACTTTTTTTTTTTCAGAAAAAAAAATGATAATACATAATAATTAATAAATTTGGTTAATCCATATCTAAGAAACAATATTTATAAAAGGTACATGGCTGATAATGAAAGATGAAATTGCTCAGGTGAAAAATACATCTACAGGTTATTATCCTAAAACAGACTGCCTATGCATATACGGATCACCTCTCAGGTGTGAAAATTACAATTTTACTCAGATAAGAAGGTTCGCCCCCATTACATATTTGTATGCTTTTTGCGAGTGGCCAAGTGGGGCAAACCGAAGCAGATTTAAATTTAGAAAAGAAATTCAAAGATATTGCTTGGTGGGAATACATCAAAATGAGACCCCGTCCACTCCAGCCAAAAAGGTGTAGGTGGAGTGGTATTAAGGGAAATGAAATTTAAGTAAAAACCAATTAGACTCATTCTTACGTTAAATTCAAATAGTTCCAAATATGTCCATTTGAATAATTTTGATTTTCGAATAGACCTTTAGATTAAGTTTTCCGAAAACTAATCTGGCAGAGAATAGAAATGAAAACAAAAAATCCGGAAAAAAAAAATTAAAAAGTATATACCGGTATGGAAGGGGAGGGGGTATGGGCAATCCTGTCCGCGAGTACCTAGCTGTGGGCCATACATAACGTTATACCTTGAGAAACATTGTCAGACTTTAATTTTTCCCTTTTTTTTTTTATTGTCTGAATGGAAGTTCAGAGGTATACAAGTCATGTACATTTTTAATGCAATAAGTGTCACACAAAAATTTTTCTTTTTAATTCATGAAAACAACAAAGCGAAGTTGCAATCAATAATTATATATTAATAGTAAATCATTTCATTCTCATAAGCGTCGGAACCGGGGGGGGGGGGGCTGGGGGGCTTAGCCCCCCCTTTTTTTTGCAAAGATAGACATAATATAGGCATTGAAAATTGGGGCTTACCCACTTTCAATCAGCCGCCCCCCCACTTTAAATTTACTTCCGACGCCTATGCTCTATTCGTGAAAATTTTATCTCGGTCCCGAAATAACCAGATACCGAGATTATAAGACACCGGCTGGTAATGAAAAAAATGGCGATGTGTATTGGTCAGGAAACTATAAAGTAATTAAATAAAAAGTGAAGGAATTTTGAGAATCACCATATCTTAGAAAAATAAGACACCGATTCCTACAACTTTGTGGTAGGCCTAGTTTTATGCACTCGATATGGTGCCTCAACCTACTAGCTTCCTTATGACTTTGTCGGTAGTTTTTTTGATCTGCACGTGTACCACTATTCACAAAATGAAGACAACATTTGGGTTTCACAGAAATGCGTCGAACCACTGGCAGGTTAGTATGCAATGTTCATTGTTGCAAGTGATTTCAGTGTTATTTTTTTCAACATTTTTGTGTCAATTTTGATGTACTTAAGTTACAAATGGAGGTGAAACTATTCTCTATTGAGAATTTGAGGGGGGGGGGGGGATATTAAACGAGCCATCAACTTCTCAATAGGGAATAGAGGTGAAACCACCTCGACTCATGAGGAAATGCGAGATACACATGTACCTGCAGTGACCATGGTGACTTGAACTGAAGCTAATACATGCAACATTTTCAAATGAGATTTTAAAAATCTGCTTGTTGAAACTGACATGAATTTCATCAACAAGTGACAATGCAAATAACACATTTGGTTATAAATATCATTTAATATTTTTCTACATGAAAAACATGAAATAATTTCCATAAACATGATATATATATATATATATATATATATATATATATATATATATATATATATATATATATATATATATATATATATATATATCATTGATTATGCAGAATAGCGCAAGTTTCATGATTTCTTGTTAAAACAATACATAGACGTACAAAGACATGGAGTAGATCTACTATAGAAAGTGAATTTCAGTAAATTTATACAAAAAACACTTTTCAGTACAGTATAGCCACATTCAAATTCATAGTAACACGTCACTTCAGTCTTGCTCTTTCATGTTTGTGCATGGATTCAAAATCAAATATTACTGTCAATTTGTTGCATGTTTGGATCTAGTGGATTTCTTTCCTTTCTTGGTGTAAGCTGACAAGGGGACATCACTGTCTGAGCTGTCGTCATCATCAGAGGGGTGTATGGCTGTCGGTGGGGTTGAATCGTCCAGATTTTCAGCTCCACGATTGTCTGCTCCTCTGAAAGTTTGAGAGAAATCATGAATAAGATTATTTTGCAAAACATGTAGATTGATTTGCTGAAGGAAGACAAAGAGGCCGGGCTAAAGAATAATGATTTCCTCTTTTCGGATCAAAGCACTGGCACAAGATATTGTTTTGATTGCACTGAGTTTTAAGTTATATGAAGAAATAATCAATAACTACAATAAAGATGCATGAGTATAAAGACTGATTCCTAACTAGGACAGTTCTATGATTTATTCACAGTCTTAGACATTTATAATGTTATTTTCACCCTCATTTATTGAATGGTTTTTATTTATTCTTTAAATGTAATTAAATAAGTTTTTTTTTTGGGGGGGGGGGGTGTTATAAGATTAAATTTTTCTCTCAGGAGCAGAACTTAACTCGTCTAATCTTTAATAAAATACACATAGAACATGTAGAAATAAAGAAATTTATATTAGTCAATAGCATTGACAGATGCTTATAATAATAACTTACATATCATGTTCGCCCCTTCCCTAACAAAAAAATACTATAGTAAACTATAGTTAACTATAGTTAACTATAGTTTACTATAGTAAATCAAAGTTCCAAAGTTTTCGCCATAGTAAATCAAAGTTCCAAAGTTTTCGCCATAGTAAATCAAAGTTTCAAAGTTTTCACTATAGTAAATCAAAGTTCCAAAGTTTTCACTATAGTAAATCAAAGTTCCAAAGTTTTCGCCATAGTAAATCAAAGTTTCAAAGTTTTCACTATAGTAAATCAAAGTTCCAAAGTTTTCACTATAGTAAATCAAAGTTCCAAAGTTTTCGCCATAGTAAATCAAAGTTTCAAAGTTTTCACTATAGTAAATCAAAGTTCCAAAGTTTTCACTATAGTTAATCAAAGTTTCAATGTTTTCTCTATGATGCATTAAAGTATCGAAGTTTTCATTAAAGTTAATCAAGGCTTTTACTTGATTTCAATTGATTTTATATAACTGTGATATATATTTCTAACAGTAGGTTAGTAAAGTTCCATGGAATGGGACATTTCAATAAATAAGTGTATTGTGGTATTTTTTTTTTTTTTGTATCTTAATTTAAATTTACTACTTTAGCTTATACAAATAAAATATATTTATTTATAATATCATAAGATACAAATCAGTGAAGTGAATGGAGCAGGTATTTTAGTTCTAAATGACTCAAAATTTATTTTATATTCTCTTTCTCCATAACAATGAAACTTACACTACATCAGTGTTATAAATAAATACTGTTGAATTAATGTTGTTATGTGTTGGACAGACAACCTTATCGTTAAAATGAATTTTTTCTCCTTTGTTTTACAAAAGGGTATTACATGTAACAGTCATTGAAGTTTCTATGAATAACTGTATCCCGAACACCTAGAATACGCAATAATGGCGATAAGTGATTATATGTCCCAGACAGAATATTCTTCTTAAATGTTCCATTTTTTTTTTGTACAGTTTATAGAACAGCTTCCAATAACTTCATGATAAGTAAAAGTGGCGAAATTGAACAAGTTGAAAATTACATAAAATTTGTTTACCAAAAAGCAGTAGAATTCGGAATCAAACAAGACTGTATGGCTTATACAATACTCATACATAAATATGATCATATAGGAAATTAAACCACTCAAAGTTAAAAGTACCAACTAGCTGTTATTTCCTTAAATGCTTATTATATTGTATCCCCATGCTTTCTTCGAACGACAAATACTAAATAGGATATGAATCAGCACATTGAAATATATAAAACCAATTCCGTGCACATCGGATTTTTGCGAATTGAATTCTCTCAAAACTATTGAAAATTGCGGATTTAAATTACTCAGCAGTTATAATATATCGTTTTTAATTAAGGTATTTTATATGGACTAGTATACAAAGTTCTGTATATTAGCTAGAAGTATTATATCTTTTCTGGTGTGCATTTCAAAATGATACTGGGTCTATATAATACATGCCTATAAAACAACTCAAAGTAATTATTTCAGCCAACCCCCCTTTTTAAATATAAAATCCTTACATACAAATGAAATTAAATGTTGTCATTTTTTTTCCCTCCAAATCATAAATCTTAAAGAATTACCTATGTGAAAAGAATTGTACATCATCTTTTTTTGTAGTTAAAAATCCTCAGTTCTGATTCTTAAAGTTTATTACAAATTTACAATTTAATGCGAAATTTCCTTATGCAGAATAAAATTCATGCAAATACCAATATTGATTCTACCTAATTTTTGTTTTGAATTACCTTGGTAATCACAGTGCAACAGTATTCTGGTCACTGTTACATTTTATATATTTAATCACTTGCAAGACAAAAACAAGAGTTAAATGCATTCATATACATTTTATTCAGTACAAAATCATATATTTATTCTAACATGTTTTCAATTATTTGTTTCAAATGTATACCATGTATATACAACCAAATATCAGCTAGAGGAAGTACTAATTTCTGTTGAGAAAAAACAATTCAACATACAAGTTGGAACAAAGACATTTTTTACACTAGCACATACTGTTTACACCTGCACGCTGTCAGAAAACTTTGGTGATGAGTTCATAAAGCAAACTTGAATACAATTCATATTTCAGTTTTTTCATGGTAATTTCAACTAGGTTCCATAACAGTACTTACACATTTATATGCATGTATATTTAATGAAAAAAATGTTCAATCCCATTCATAATGGTTTGGCAAACACACAACAAATTTCACAAGACCACAGACACTTTGAGTAAAAGTCCTCAATATCAATGACAACTCTAGCTTGAGTTTCTTTGACTCTTGTTATGAAAAAAGATGAGGCACCAACATCGGTGTCACTAAACAAAAGATCATTTTGTTTTTCAAGTTTTTTCCCAACAATGTAAGGTGTTTTACATCCACATTCATAAGAGACATGTTGACATTCTTCATTAAATAACATCAATTTCTCAACAATGTAAAAATCACCAGACAGAGTTTTGATTACATAATTAATTGATTTTCCATCACTCTTTGAGTAAGACTGAGAATAAATCAAATTGTCTTTAAACAAGAATCTGTCAAAAAATACAGCACATGGACTTTCCAAATTAATGTTCAAGCGATTCTCTAATGCTAATTGTTCAAAAACCGACAAAGCTCGGTAAACATTCTTGCCAACCCCAAGAAGCTCCTTACTGATTCTGATGTAAGATTTGTGATGTTTTTTACCTTTTAACTTTTCACAAAAAAAATTTAACAGAGTCAGATGCTTTTAACAAATGGAATAAGGAAAGTCTCTTTGCTTCCTGAAACAAAATCAAAGATTTACATATCTGCGTGGATACATGTTGGGTGCCGTTGAACATTGTCAATAAATTTCCTCCATTGCTTTCAAAAGGAAATGTAGAGGTACCCCATATTGGACCCCAATTTCGCACACTCTGGGCAACGTGCAACAGCTGATGAACATTAAAACTCATGTGTTCAGTTCCATACAGTTCTCCAACTTGCTGTACAAACTTTCTGAGAGCCCTCTCAGCACAGTCAACTTCGTCCAATGTTACAGATGACTGTAGCAGCGTGTATATAGCAAACACCAACAGGAAGAAATGGTTGACGTACTGTTGCGGAAGAATGCTTCTTAGAATAATAAGTGCATAGAAAATAAGGAATGCTCTCCATTCCGATGCTTTCCAAAATCGCCTGGTGGAAAGAGAGCGTGGTCGGCGTGTGATTTCAAAGGGGGGCTTTAATTTTAACAGCTTCCTATCCAGTTCCTCCCACTGTCGTCCAATATAAAATGGCTTCCCTTTATTATGGGTGTCTAACCAAAGGCTTGTAAACTGACGTGTCACACCCTGGCATACATTATGCAAGTAGTCTGGCACAAAGCCTGCAACCATATTGAACACACTCAGCAAGCATAATGGACTTAGTCCTTTAATTCCATTAATCACACGAGATGTTGTACAGGCTAAGAGTCCATCTTCAAGCACTGATGCATGGGTCCTCTCTCTGTATGGATCAGAAGGATATGCTCTAACATGTCCATCTCCTTTACTTACAACTTCTCCCGGATTTAAGCACCAATCACACCCAAACTGCCCATTAAACTTTCGCGTTCCTCAAAGCTGGCCTTGCCACTGCATCACTGCTGCAGATAAGGGTGTGTACCTTTGTGCACAGCTTCCTTCCAATAGAGTCTGTCCAGGTAACTCCCTGCTTACTAAGCTTGTTGCACATCTCATTATTAGTCCCCTACCGGTGAAACCGGAGGGGACTATAGGTTTCCTCTGAGTCTGTCCGTCCGTCTGTCTGTCCGTCTGTCCCTCCCTCTGTCAGTCTGTCCCACTTGGTTTTCTGCACTTTTTTTCTAAATGCTTGCAGATATTGAGCTGATTTTTGGTATTTGAGTGTATCTTGATAAGTTACAGATCAAGTTTGCATTTTGTTCCACTTCATTGATTTTTGACGGAATAATGGCATTTTCAGTTTTTAATGGGAATCAGATTACACTTGCCAGTAGGGGACTAGTATTGCTAATGCAATACTCTCAGAATGCTTGTTTCACCTTCATAAGCACCTTGATTTTTGTAAAAATCCATTGATGCCAATTTTCCATCTGTGCACAAGGCAGTATATCTTCTTTCAGTGAATGATTAAAATATAACTTAATTATATATGCTCAACTTCTGAATGGGTGTAAATGGTATGGCTTTCCCTATATCTGTCCATCTGTTTTAGGAGTTTGTGGCTGGGTCACATTTTTCACAATTTGAACGTAGAACCACCCATCTTGGTCAGCTATTTCATTTTTGGGAGGGCGTTTCTTTTAATCCTTAAGTAGGTTAATACCATGGCCTCAATTTTGAATTATTTGACTGTTTCTGCATTATATTTTGCAGTCTGTAGGGTTAAGGGGCCAGTTTTAAACTTGGTAGTTCATTTCATTGCATATTTTCCTCTTAAGTGGCCACTTGGTCCATTTTGCTCAATACACTTGTTTTGTCACATGAGTATGTTTCTTACATGAAACAAGACAATTAAGTTTAAGTGATATATGTTTTTAACGTACAAAGGTCAAATTGAGAATGTGTTAAGGTAATATAAACTTTTGATCTTCAAACTTATCAAGGTTATTAACACATTCCAGTGACCTTCTTTAATTAGGGTCCCACAAATATTTATCATTACAACTGTCAGTTCATCAGTCTGTCATTCTGTCTGTCCACTAAATTTGTCTTTGAATTTTACAACTTTTTACTTTACTAAATGTTAAATCAGTGCAGAGTTTGATTTTTTTGAAAATTAATATAATTTGACTTTAAAGCATTGATTTTAAAGCTGAATTTTGAGGCCACCTGTCTTAATTGGTTAGTTTGTCATTTTCCCATTATGTGCAGGTGCAACTGTAATTACGCTACTGCTAGGTGAATTTTCCAGATAGTGGTTGTTTATGCATCTTATATATACTATGGGAATGGTCATTTATCTTATAACCTTATACAGAAATAAATAATATAGACTCAAAGGTATTATAATTTATATAAATTAATATCAGCTTTTAATATGAAAATTCCTGTTAACTTCAGGAATTATCCCTTATATCTGTAAGAAATTTCACCTTCTTAAAGGGAACAAAATGAATTTTGTCATTAAATTGGAGATAATTTTTACAGGTAATACATTTTGGCAGTACCTGCATCTCAGCTAAAAAGCTAAGGAGCAATATTGGTTCGAGGTACAGCCATCTTGTCAATTTCATAATGGAGGAGATTTTCACAGAGGAGGAGATGGCTGAGTGTAGCCTGACTGGTTCAAAGGGAAGAACCAAAACAGAAGACATTAAGCCTGCGCTGGATGCTGATAAATTAGCAGACATCATTTGTAAGCCATTTCTTAAAAAATCTTTTAAATTAATGCAATAAATGCCCATACGGCATAATAAATAGGGTTTATTATTATTTTTGTTTGTTTTCCTAGCTATGTGATTGGCACAAACTAAGACACATGATCAGGTTAACATTGTTTCTATTTTAAGCTTCTACAATAGTTTACAATCTTGTTTTTAAATTTCTAAAACAACAGTAGTGATGACATCACAAAAGTCAATAATAACTGAATGTTTTTAAAAACAATTCTTTAGCTGCTGTTTTAAATATGGTGTCATAAAGAGTATGACTTAACAAAAAACAATTCTTTAGCTGCTGTTTTAAATATGGTGCAGAAGTGTATTGTGGGACTGTTATTAAAATCATATATAATATATGCTATTTATTTTGTAGCTTATACCAGGACCCAGTGGAAAGTAACAGACGAGGAGATCAAGAAAACTGTAAGAACAAAGTTAAACAACTGCCATAAGAAGAAATACCAGGCCAGGAAGATCAGCACACCTGAGGATTCTTAAGTGGACAGCAATAATTTAACTGTGATAAAGTTTCAGAACAACTGCTCAGTAACTTCTTCAGTATGATTCAGTGATTTTTCCCCCTTTTTTCAGCTATAATTGTTAAAAAGACTTACCATATCCTGATGTATCAGCAGTTTTAAATATCAAGAAAAGGATGTTTAAAAATGTTCTTATTTATTGATGTGCCAACATTTATCTTGTATATATTTAAATAGTGCCAATTAAGTTTCTTGAGTTTTAGTTTCAATAGTGCGTATGTATTAATATTTATAGAGTAGTTTGTAGTGCTGTTATTTTCTTTTACTATTTTTAACCTATGATATTATATTGAATGACTTACTTTGTTTAATTTAAGGCAATGCCAGAAAACTTGTCATCATTTTTGTCAGTTTTGTATATTTTGTAAATTGTCATAATTTATTCCTAGATGCTGGATTAAAGGATATTTGTTGTCAAATCCTTCGTAGTTTGTATATGTGTTTGTGTAGTTTGATGCAAAGTTTTGTTGTTCTTTTTTGTTGAATATTTTCCTGTGTTCCATTTTAAAGATTTTTATACTATATTCCTCAGGATGATAAATCAAGTAGATGTGTTTTATAAAATATATTTTTTTTAAATCTTTATTCCATTGCTTTATCTTTATGTCTCAGAATGATGTTTTTTTGCTTTTAAAGTTTTAAATAATTTGGTTGTATCATGTCTGTGATTTGTAATTTGTCAAAATGAGCTTTCACATGTAGATAAAATACAGGAAGCATAAATTGTGATATACATTGCTAGCTCATTATTTTATATAGCTTCATAATTGAATTAAGTATTCACATTAACTACCAAAATATTAAAGAGACTATTCATATACTGTACAGATGTATGTATGCCTTTTATAAAACAATGCAAAGAATACATAGATGTATTTTTGTATTTCACTTTTAAAATCTATTGTTATTATTTATTTTTAATTGAAATCTTTGTTACAATAAACTTTTTAACTTAAACTGTTTGCTTCACTTGTAAATGTTTAGGAACAGTCTGAAGTTTCAGTAAAGTTATTCAAAGTTTTCACCATAGTAATTCAAAGTTCCAAAGTTTTCGTCATAGTAAATCAAAGTTCCAAAGTTTTCACTATAGTAAATCAAAGTTCCAAAGTTTTTACTATAGTGAATCAAAGTTCCAAAGTTTTCACTATAGTAAATCAAAGTTCCAAAGTTTTTACTATAGTAAATCAAAGTTCCAAAGTTTTCACTATAGTAAATCAAAGTTCCAAAGTTTTCACTGTAGTAAATCAAAGTTCCAAAGTTTTCGTCATAGTAAATCAAAGTTTCAAAGTTTTCGCCATAGTAAATCAAAGTTCCAAAGTTTTTACTATAGTAAATCAAAGTTCCAAAGTTTTTACTATAGTAAATCAAAGTTCCAAAGTTTTCACTATAGTAAATCAAAGTTCCAAAGTTTTCACTATAGTAAATCAAAGTTCCAAAGTTATAACTTTGGTACTATAGTAAACTATAGTTTACTATAGTAAACTATAGTTTACTATAGTATTTTTTTGTTAGGGTTAACAAGGTGCTTGTTTCGGTTGTGTTGGCTCTTCGTTTTCTGGACTTGCACAAGAAGCGATAAACTGATTTTTGTCCATCCTTGATAGCTTCAGTTCTAAAATCAGAAAGACATACATTAATTAGATAATTATCATTATTAAAAAAATAATGCAGGATTAATTATTTCCACTATAATTGTATATTTCTGAATATAAAATATTTCTGTTAACAAAATAATCAAAACAATTTACAAATTTAAAATAATATTGGTACATACAGTGTATTGCACATATGTGCCTAATTATCAACATGATTATGGTAATTAAAATCTCATTAATTGCATCTTACATGTATAACACTATATAAACTGCATCAGTTTTAAATAAATTCTTCAACTAAAAATTTTTGCAATGAAGAAAGTTTACATTTTTTTTAAATAATTTTTTTTTAAATTATTTATTTGTCTTAAGTAAATATTATGAAAGTCAGAGCACTTTTATTTATTTATTTTTTTTTTATAGCTTATAAATTAGAATTTTTGAATTATCAGTGCCATGAGTCTTTGTTAGTTTGTTGTATATTCTATGCAAATTGTAGTGACCAGAGGGACCCAGTGAGTTTATCAGCTATTGTTCCCCGCTTGCAGTTGTTAGGTTTAAATATACAAATCCTAGCACTGGGGTTTTGTACAAAGACTGAGACTAATTTTTTCCTTCTCTTTTTTTTTTTTGGAAATAAAAATAAATTTAAAAATTATGTTTATGATTAAGTAAAGATTTAATTTACTGTTCTTAAATTTTAAAAAATGAGTAAAGTTTAAAATGCAACTGTTCCTAAAATAAAAAAAAGAAAAGAAATAAAATTACTTACTTTTTCTTCCCATAGAATTTAATCCAATAGATGGCTTTTCGCATACGCTGCTGGATTTTCTGTCGGTTTGATTGAGTTTGGTCCATGTCTTTGGTGAAGGATGTCATAATTTCGCTGGTTGCTTGCTCCCAACTGGCATCTGTTTTCCCACTGAGATTGTACTTTTGTACAACATCATGTACAGATTTCTAAAAGGAAAAGAAAAGCAATTTATGTAAAACTAGTCTTCTATGTATAAAACAAAAACAATTTAAGATAAGTTCATTGAATTAAATGTATTATGTTTTCTATGAAAAATAAATAAGTTTAGGTTTAAGACAAGATAAATTTACACTTTTGTTGAATATGTTAAATATTTCCTCCCTGTTCTTTTTTGAACAATTGTCAACAATTAAAGGGTTGTAAATGAAAAAGATTTAATGGTTTACAATTGATAATTAAGATAAAATTATCTTATAAGCCCTATATATTAACTCCTCTAAGTCTTTTTAACATTCAAAAATGAACGACGTGTAAATTTGCATCGTTCAGTGATTTTTTTTTATTTAAACTGTAGTAAAATTTACACACACCCCCATTCTGTCACAAGGTTATTAGATTGAATCTTAGTTAGATTATCATGATGTATATATTAATGTTTCAGCTTATAAAAGCTACCCAAGCCCCAATGCATTTGTTAACTATATAATCTAATGATAATCAAATTTAATGTCTCTGATTCATATTAACAATTTTACAAAATTCTTATGTCTTAATTAATTAGCATTGTTTTTATATTCATCATGCATGTTGAATAATATGTTTTTCATGCATGCATGTGTATTATCTAGATATCAAGCTCTAGCTAGGAGATATTCTTTGTCTCATATGAATATTGTTATTTTCTAATTGTCAATCTTACTAAATGAACATATACTAATAGAATTCAGAAAATATAAAATTCAGTTAATATTTATTTACCTGCAAAATGCTGTGCTCATAGGTTCCTCTTTTCCAAAATTGCTCGGAATCAAGCCCCTGAGGAACTTCAAGGTCAGTTTGCGTACCAATGGATGTTTTTGATGCATTACAAGGGCAAGGGTTCCCAACATGGAATCGAGCACAACAAATGCAGTTATAGTCACAAGTCTTTGAACTATTTTGGGGCAAGTATGATGTACTCTGCTGCACAGAACCAGTTGCACTATAGTTGTAGTCCGCATTGTTAAATAACAAATTTTGATAGAAATTACCATCCATGATGTAGTTTGATACTGATCGAACACTAGTTATCACTTCAAAATTGTCCTTACACACTCTGACCATATTGTTTGCTTAAGATCTTTGCCTATCACATATTGTCATTAACTTCTCCTAATCATGATAATTTATGTACTCTTTCAATTATGGAAACTCTGTAATTAACTTAATCAGTGGACAGTTCAAACAACTTAATACACGCACTGCCAGGTAAATTCTTCTTGATCTCTATAATTGGGAAATTTTGTTAATAATTTAATAACTTAAACTGACCATTAAAGTTCCTGCCCAAAAAAAGAAATGCATGCACATTTCAGCTAACAATATAAAAGTATAAAAAACAACTTAAAAAAAAATAATTCTTACTTAATTTAATCAACCAGTTTAATCAGAGATATTTTGTAGGGTATTAATCATGTTAATTGGAAAAAATAAAATAAAAATTGACTTCTTATAGGTAGGTGAAATAATTTTTGTTCATTAAATCAACAAATATTATGTACTCTGAAGATAAAAAATTGCAATAACCCATTTCCCTGGCCTTTAAATTATTTCAAGATAACAGTTGGAGCAAGAAAGAAATACTTCACAGGGAAACTATAATTCTACCATTTTTTAATTATTTATTTGTATATGTACAAATATGCCATATGATCAATAGAATATTTAGTACATTTATATATAGCTACATGATATATATATCTGGATAGAAATGTAAAAGTTTTAACTATCCAGGGTGTGATATTTAATTATTGCATGAAAATAAAATTGTCTGATCATCAGTCTTGAGATCCAAGTGTTCAGCATCTTTGATTTTTTTTGTCTGTGGATTAGGATCATCCCATTATTCAACCAATCAGCTGATAATTAATGGTCACTTCCAGTCAAATCGCGATGCAGGGTCCACAAGCAAAACAGTACATTTTCATTAATTGTCAATTTGCAAGAAAGGCTATGGAGCATCATTTTTGTTGTATTTTTGTTATTCGGTATGTTTTCATCTGCAGGAAACACTCAGTCCAATGGTAATTTTAATTTTAATCCTTTGATTTAATTTCAGCTCTGACAAATCAAGAAAAAATGTTATGAAATTCATATGTAAATTTTATCTTGATTACGTATTGAAATTCTTTTTAAATTTCAGGTGCTAACTGGTACTGCAAGTGTGGAATTTGCAATGGGAAATGGGTACCAAAGAGAACTTTTCACCGCCACACTGCAGAAGACTTCAGCAAGAAAACAGTTCCTCTTATTCCTAAGTACCATTTTGATGAGGCTGCATACAGTGATCAGAATCTACTTTCACCCCTTTTCTCAGGAGCAAACACTACTGTGTTGGAAGCTGTAACACAACATTTATATGTGTTTTCCATGAATCATGGGATGACCAAAAGTGCTGTTACAGATGTGCCTAAAAGTGAAAAACAGACTCTCCCACAGCCTAATATTTTGCCAGCGTCGTATAAGGAGGCAAAGGATTTGATTAAACATCTCCTCATTCCATTGTACAAATACGATGTGTGTGTTAATGACTGTGTGGTGTTTAGAGACTATGCAGAGAACTTATTTGCTGGCTTACAATCCTGCCCAAAATGCAAGGAGCCTAGGTACTTGAACGGAAAAGTGAGAAAATCCTTTACCTTATATGCCCATTGGACCCAGATTAGCCCGATGGTTTGGGACATTCAACCTTTGCCAGCTTCTGTATGCAGAAAAAATTAATTTAAGGGGAACATTGAGTGACTTTGTTGACGGATCACTTTATCGTTCATGGTATCAACCTGGTGGTGTATTTCAATCTACAGAGGAGCCATTATGTGTCCCACTCTCTCTATTTACAGATGGCGTGAATCCCAACAAGCACACTGCTAGCCAGAAATCGATGTGGCCACTAATACTTACCTGGATTAATCTTCCTAGAGGTATTCGCCAACTTATTGGACCTATGCTGCTGATGGGCATCATTCCAAGTGGTCCAAAAGGATGTGAACCGAAGACACTGGAACCATACCTGGAAATCCTCATTGAAGAGCTGTTAGAATTAACCGAATTTCCAGTGAGGAATGCTTACACCGGCGCACCAGCAATGGTTAAGGTAGCATTGTTACAGTTTCTCTGCGATATTCCTGCGTATTCAAAACTTCTACACCTTTCTGGACAGGCAGCTCTACGATCATGCCCATATTGTAATGAAGTTGGCCATTACTGTCATTTTCTTAAAAAAAAACAGTACACATTTCCAATAGATGTTTCCTGCCATCAAGTGACAAGATGAGAGATGGGACTGGCTTTGCCCTTAAAGAACGAGAAACCAACATACCAATCTCAGTATCAAATGAGCAGGAAAAACAAATGAGACTCACGTATGACAGACTGCCAAACAAAACCCAGAAGCAGAAGTATCAGAAGGAAACTGGAATGAAGGGTACCTATGCATTGATGAAACTCCTTTACCACAACAGGTTACAACAAATGCAGCCTGATGGTATGCATACAATAGCTGACTTCATTTCTCATGTGATGGACATGCTGATAGGCAAACATGACGGAATTAATGTAAGAAATTGTGAGAAGTCGTTCAGCAGATTTCCTGAGATATGGGTTCAGGAGAAATCTTCAGCACTGCAAACTTCTTTGCCGCCTGAACCTGTTACTGGTAGAAAAAAGAAAAGAAAGTTGAACCAAGAAAATGAGGATCCAGAAGAACCTTTACATCCCACACCTTGGTCCCTGTCTAAAGAGCAAATCAAGACAGCAGACACCAGAGCAGCCTCTATCACATACAGTTCATGCCACAACATTACACCTGGACCACATTTTTCAAAACCATGGACATTGCGTACTATGAACTCAAACTGCAGGTGAGTTATCTCAAATAATTTCAGAATGATATTTGTTGCATGAGCATTTATTATTACCTATTCTGGAATCTAATTTTTTTTAATATTAATTTGCAAATTTCATTGAATGTTTGGGTTAATATTACATATATTTTTTGAAAACTTATTATTTTTATATAAATAAAGAAAATAGTTAAGGTTTTAGAAAGTTTAAAATTTTATTTTGTTTTTAATTCATGTAAGTTTTTTTTCTATTGCAGTTTGTTACAAGTGGTGCTCTTGCGTGGTGTATTAAGGGATTTTTACCCAAACAACAAGAGGAAACTCTATTCTTGATATTGAGCATTATCAAGAGAATGGTGTCATCGACATTGAAGGAGGAAGATATTCCTACACTGCAGGCAGATGCACATACTGGATTGTCCCTATTTGAACGGGATTTCCCACTCTCCATGCAGGTAACTTATGATTGTATTAAGCACATGTACTAATTTTCAGAGAAGCATTTTAATTTTGTTAAAGTATTTTTTTTTAAGCGTTTCATTTGACTTGTCTAATAATCTAACATGAAAGTCAGGAAAATTTACTTTAAATTATCATAATCTGAGATTTTTATAACTGTTTTTTTTTTTAAATTTTTTTTTACAGAATTTGGTCACTCATTTGCTGCATCATGTTGTGGATGGATTCCCCACTTTTGGCCCCTTGTATGGTAGATGGCTCTTTCCGTACGAAAGAGCCAATGGCTGGATTAGTCGACAATGCCTAAAGAAAGGAGCAGAGGAAGCCACCGTTATGGAGACTTATGTTGTAAGTATTTAGATTTATATTATGTGTTAATACATTAAAGCAAGAATTGTAATGGTATAATATAAGTTTAAAAAAAACCCAAACAAACAAACCAAAAAAAAAGTCCAAACTACTAGTATTCATGGTCATTGATGAGGCTTTTTTATTCAGAGGTGAAAGGTTTAAAACCCTTTTTTTTTTGTTATCTGTTCAAATATTTTGACAAGAGTTATCTCCCTTTAAAAATCATTAAGAAAAGATAAACATTAATCAAAACTACATTTATTAATTAGCACAAAAGTGAAATTGTTTTTAATTATAGGATATACTATGTTTTAGGTATACGACTGGTGTATGCATATGGTGATGAGCAAGCGCTTCAGGCCACCTGATGGTGCAGAGCAAGTGTTGGCGAAAGTTGACCATTCACCTGAATTCACCACCTACCAATTCAGCCAGGCCCAAGGCAAGATTGTCACCCTGACCGAGGGAATGTCCACACACATGAGAGAGTTTTACCAAACTGCAATGGATATCAACATCTTCTTCTTCGGTGAAAGTGCACACGAGAAATCCATGTACATTTCAGAAGACAGAAAGATTTGTTCAAAGAAACACTCCAGCAAAAACTCTTCTATTGTGAAGGTTTTAAGCGGAAATGACCTGTTTGGCGAAGTGTGTATATTCATTGAACATAATATGAACTGCATGTTGCAGACATGGGCAGTGATTGACGTGTTTCCTTTAGCCGAGAGAGGAGATGGAGTTTGTGTTTTCGAAAACAGAATTCTGTTCCAGAGACTTGTTCATGTGGACCTACTAAGTGACCCCCTTGTGTATGTAAAGGAAAACAATGTCTTGTATGTGTTAAACGATATATGACTGAAATGTGTAGTTACAAGTCTGTTTGTGTACTTGAACTGAAATGTCCAATTAATTTCCCAAAATATTTGTACAGTTGTATAGTACATGTACTTTGTTTAGAAATGATAATGTGAAGAACAGGAAAGATATGGCATTTATATATGTATATCTCTACATGAAGTACTGTATGATCAGTATCTCAGATATAGATATGTACCGATATGTGAGATGGTAGCATGTATTTATGCTCTTTTATCATCAATCCCTATTCTAAAAAAATGGACAAGGCTGAATTTTTAATATGCATTGAATTGTTTTTGGTTATTAAAAATAACTATAGTTAATGAATACAAATTGTAATCACAAGAGAAGAATTACATGTAAATCTTTATTTAAAGAAAAAATTAGGAATGGAATGATTAAGAAGTTGTTGCTTTTAAAAGTTTGAAAATATATGGCTCATTAAAAGTTCTGCTGCATTTGAATGGTAAGGAATGTGATGTGCCT